GAAACTGCAGTGAGAATGTTATCAGACCTGTGGAAAAAGGGTGTGCGCATAATAGTGCTAAAATGTAAGTATGATTGTTTGGACAAGCCCAACACAAATGCACACAGGGAACAGCCCTGGAGCCTTGTCACCTCTCCACACTGCTTTTTTTATTTTTCTAGCTGAGATAAACAGCATAAACTTTTATGAAACAAAAACCTTTTTGTGTCTACGACTTTTTCATCCCATTATATAATTACTCCTCAATTACTTACTCTTTTTAGAATATTTTTAGTGAGGTCAAAATAATACTCACTTATTCTTGCCATCACTGAGCTGATCCTCCATTGCCCTAGCTAATAGTATGCATTTTTGTACTTTTTGTTTTCCTATCCTGATCACTGTTATTGCAGCCCTAATTGGTGTGATAACCTGGAACAGTGCTAATAAACAATAGGGTAAAAGGGTCAGTCTCCACTGGCGGCGCAAGGACACACACAGTCAAGTCACTCATGTCAAATGACCAATTATACAGGTTATAGAAGATGGCACCTCCGTCTCCAGTGCCCCGTCCCTCCTGGGATAGCTCTCCAACAAGAGGGCTATCACTCAAACCCAAACCACATTCATTCATTAGCCTGTTAAGATGGGCATCAATTATTCATTAAGAAGGTGGCCAGTGGATTATTTCTGTCAGCACTAGGCTTATTGTATCAAAGGTTGATTATGGCTCGGTTGATTTAGTATGCACTATTGTCTGTGTGATCAATCAAAAGATGTAATGAAACTTCCTGAAATAACAACAAATAAAAAATTTAAATTTTACTTTGTACAAAAACATTTTATTTCAGTCAATTTAGTTGGAAAGTTTGTTTAAAACTTTAACAGCAGCATTAACTTACTGACATGTGCATTGATCTGATTTTGGACATCATTTTGTTATTACTCACTACACGATTCAGCCAACTTGAACTTAACATATCGTATGATATAGTGTCTTCTTGATTTATGAGTAAAATATGCTCACCACCTTGTCTTTATTATTCCTGTCCCTCACTAACAATCTTGTGCTCACCTCTTTTTCTTTTTTCCATGGCATCATCCCCAAAATTCACACTCACACCACTCTGTAAAATCTTTTTATTAGAATGTTAAAAAGTCCTGTGGGGATTTCTTTTAGAGAAACTCTCTGAGAGGGGAACTAGTAAAAGAGTTGTGCTAAACTGGAGGGCTGACAAAGCCTTGCCTGAGACTGCAAGCACAGATTAATACAGTCCATTGTTTCCTATGTGTAAATTCCACTGTAGACTTAAAGTATTAATTACATCATAAATAGTACATTACTTTTGTCTTTGTTTCTCTTATCTACTTTTTATACTGATCACTTAAAAGTGGGTTTGAATAATAAACTCATGTCTCTTTTGTCAAGTTAAAGGTTTAGCAGGTATTCCCTTTATTACGTTGTTTATAATTAATACATGAGTGGTTGTCTTAATTTGTGCGATTGCTTGCTCAATGCAACGTGTTTTATAAAAAACATTAACCTACTTTTTCCTTCCTGTGACCCACAGGATACCTTTTGAAAACAAGAGCGAGTAAAGTGCCATTTAAGCAAATAGGTTGCGAGTGAGGCAATGTTTTAGCAAATACAGATGGAGTGTTTAGGAGATTAGCATCCTGTTACAACACATAGCAGCGCACTTCAGTGTCATGTTTGCAGGGCTTTTTGATGACAAATTTGACCTCCGACCACAGAGAAGTTGTTCAAAGGCAGCAGATAGCATTCAGCAGAGCAGATATAGCATGTAAATATACACCATGTAAACAATTCTTTCCTTCTTTATCAAATAACATTTTTGTACATTCATTCATCTGTTTTACCTTACTTGACTTTTGAATTACATGTTGTGTAAGAGTGTGTGTGTATTTGTATTTATGGAATATATATACAGTATATGTGTATGTGTCCCAGTTTTCTTTTAATTATGTTTTTTACATCGAAATGTTATTAACATTGCCTTTCATGAAACAAAAAATTCCACATATTGTCCTGCTATTTTTAGAATGTATTGTTCACAATACACAATTCACAGGCTTGAATGCACATACAGTATGCACACACAGCTACACATATACACACACGCAGTAAAAACATTATGTGGTCAGAACACTCGATCACTCTTCTTGGTGTGTTTTACCCCAAACTTTCCTCCCTTCGCCAACCCCTGCAAGTGTTAAAACAATATCCAAGTGTCATGTTGTCGCACAGTGTCACCACTTCGTAGGTTAGAAAAATTCATTGAGGTGAAAATAAAATCATGGGTGTGTCGCTGTTTTCAAAGTCGTAATGAAGGATAAACATTGTGACGAGGTGACAGAGCGCAGACCTGGGACCTGGCCCTTAGCTTTGAGCCACAGCAGGCACTTACACATGATGCAATGACAGCTCTTCGAGATGGTGGGGAAATTAATTCTTGCTCGGTTTAAAGAAACTATTCATAACAGCTTTGCGTGAAAAAACATTAACAATTTTTCATCGGGATCAAAGTGGCCATCTGGTTAAATTCACATAGGCTATACCTTATTCATGCACCTCCTTTACTACTCTCAGTGGATTCGCTTAATTTTCTGTCTTCCTTTTTCCCTCAGGTTTGTGCAGCACTTGCGGAGTGAGGCTCTCTCAAGAATGTGTCTAATTTAGTGGCTAAGAGGCAGATTTATACCTGTGCTAGTTATGGAGAAGGTTGCTCCCTCGAGAAGCCCAATGACTGTTTACGGGCGGCCCGACAATGCCTTAGCAGATGATGAAGCACCTGCCAGAGTTCCCCCATGTCTGTTCCATCCCTTTCTGTCTGTCTGCTCGCCTCCCTTCTTCTCACTTTCTTTCTTCTTTCACTCTTCCTTCCTACTCTTTTTCTTAGCCTTCTCTCCTTCCTGTCTCCCGCCCTTTCTCTATCGCTTTGTTTCTGTTCTCAGCAGAGCCACATCTCCTTCAGTTACCATGGAGTTGTGCATTTTACAACCATTCCCACTGCTCTCCCCAGAGTGAACCCATCTACTCACGCTGTCTACCACAGAGAATAAGAGAGTTTGCGTCTCCATGTCCCTCTACCATTCTTCCTCCTCTCTCCCTCCCCCGTCACACACATGCTAGATAGACAAATCGACAGCAACGCACATACACATACACACACACACACACACACACACACACACACACACACACACACACACACACCGGCAAACAGAACTGTGGTCAGGTTTTGTTTATGACAGGGAAAGGCAATATCGAGATTGTTTCAGAGTAGTGTCATCACGTGAAATGTATCGCTGTCAGGAGTATGTTTTATACGTCTGGGCCCTTGGCTGAAGCCATTTTGGGAAACAGAAAATATCATATCGTATGACCTCCTCTGGTATAAAAGTAAACTATCAGCTGTAAATCCGATACACAACTACAGTAGTGTGTGTGAAGAGGGAGGAAAGCGAGTTCTCTCACTCGTAAAATAAAGATCAGCTGTTTCTTGCTGTTGGAAATTAATTTCAGAAATATTTTTGTTGATATGTTGATGTACATGAAACTAGAAGTGTTATAGATTTCTCAGAGTGAGAATTCCTTTTAAAGAAACCTTCATGTCTGTTCCTGAAATGCTTGCACTGTTGTAGTTTTTGCTTTGAAAGTTGCTGGCTGAATGTGAAAATGCAGAACTTGTGTTTGCATCTGGACTCAAGCTGAAAAGCTGCAACCTGGGGGAATGGGAAGACAAAATAGTGACCATGCATTTCATGTGGTATGTCTGCTCTTTTATTTAACACCAAAGAATATTTATTTATTCTTAACCAAGGATACTGATATAAAAATCTCTCAGAAAACATAACCTTTACCATTTTCTTTGGTTTTTGAAAGGTCATTTTAAAACTTTTCCCAAGAAGACACAAGAGAAATACATTATTTTCCTACAACCGAAAAAACTACTAAATACTAATATTCTTCTAGTTCTTGTATTTTAACTTTCAAAGGGTTTAATCTTATTTATTTGCCCAGTAAAATGAGCTTCTTTTTTTGTTTGCCTAAAAATTTATATTTTATTTTAAAAATTTCCCCAGACACAATATGTATGTCTCTCCTTATGTAATTTAAGTATTTAATCATCAGGCGTTGACTAATTCCTGGTCACAGTGCTATAATTCCAGTTCTTCTTTCTTTCAAATATCCAAACCGCATTATACTCAATGGGCCCTAACTCGTTAATGTATGTGGTATGATTTTGCACCTGTAATTAAGTGTCAGTTTATAAACACACAAACACTAATAATACCCAGAGCTTTTCTTGGGAGAGCCTGGTGGTGGCAATAGCCCATCCATCAATGTCCCTAATGAGGCTCCATATAGACAAGTCAGTGGAGGCTTCCTGGGCCGTTCAGTCTTATTTTTCATGCTCACTATGATAACCACCCAAATCCCCAGTAAGATGATATCAGCCAAGATAGGGAAGATGTGTGTTTTGTGTGCAAGCCGGCATACTTACAGCATGTGTATGCATGTGTGTGTATTTGGGGTCCTGTTCAGGGTTCCCATTAACCTCACTGTCATTTCAGTGTTGGTGATGTTAATCAAAACCAACACCATTAAGTGTGAGGTGGTTAATATGGCTTCTGTTTTCAATGTCGCCATTAATAATACGATGCAGAGAGGCCAACTTGAGGAGCTAATGAGGTGTCACAGGTCATTTAGACCAATCAGAAGCCACCACAGGACATTAGCTAAACAAAGGCCTTGGCTCTGCCACAGTGTGCTACTAGGACATTGCAGCATGTAAGGGAGAACACAGTTAGAGCAACAATAACATACTTATTAAGTGGGACAAGCTGACACCAGAACTTTGTAGAGATCTTGTTTATTTATGGTCTCAGCAAACCCAACATTCTCCACTGAAGTTCTTATGCAGCTTATGAGTGATAATCCTCTTCCTGTTTATTTGAATTATAGATCTCTCCATGTCTCTCTCTCTCTCTGTTAGGCCTGCAGAAGCAAACAGCACAGAATGTGGTCGACATGTTTAGCTAACAGATAGATCTACAGTTTCAGAAGCCGAGACCCTCGCGCTGCGGGACAGATTTCATGCTCCTGATCGTCACCGCACCATCAGGGTTGAGACAAGGTTTGGACTGGGCCTGGAATCCTGCAAGAACAACATTTACAGTATCATTGGGAGTGCTGATTAGACTTTTGAGGGACTTATGATAGCAGAGGCCAGTGTTCCTGATGGCTAAAGTGCCCATAAACAATGTGTCTCTGTCTGGGCCTAACGTGTCTGGCGCTTGGAAGCAAAGTGAGAAGAAATTTATAATCTTTTCATAAAACTACAGTCAACAAGTACTCATGAAAGGCAAGGCGCTGACAGTTTTAATTTTTGTAAGTAATGTATTAATTATTGCTGTGCCTCACTATTATTTTCTTAATCAGTTATTCTTTTTATATGCTTCAATTAATCCACCCACAACCCAATCAGTTTGTCTATAAAATGTCAGAGAAGAGTGAAAAAATATCCACCATTATTTCCCAAAGCAGAAGGTGATGTTCAAAGTTATTCAGTTTACGATCGTAAATCAAAGAAAATCTGAAAAGCCTCATATTTTAGGTGCTAGCACCGGTAAATGATTGCCATATTTGTTTGATCAAATGTTAAAATGATTAATTTGTTATCAAAATTGTTGTCCATTAAGTCAAGTAAACAATTCTGATCCAGGCAAAATGTGTTTGGGTCTCTTACTTTACACTCTTAAACAAATGGCTGACAAGGAGCTGGATTTTACAGGAAAAAAAACCTAACAATGGATGAGGTATGAAATCATACAATACAAATTTTTTTTAAAAAAACCCAATAAAAGTAGAATTTTACAATAATGCCATTATAACACCATGACTTTTATTTTTCTCTGTATTGAATGTGACTGCTCTCTCCCAAGGCCCCAAATATTTAATATCTGTTCTTAGACTTACTGATGATTCCCAATGTTCACATCCACCTAGTCATTAGTGTCCATTAATGTAACGATAAGGAGAGACCACTTTTGAAATACTTTTAGACTCCTTGGTATTTTTTTTCTGTGTGTCATTATGAAAGCACCAGCAGTCAGTGTGTCAGCGGGTAATGACAGAGGAAGTGACGTCTGACAACTATGGCCTGCCACTGTGGTTGGTTCTTTAAGAGCAAAAGGAGGTGGCCACGTCTCAACGCTAATGGAGGAGGAGAAAATGGCCGTGTCAGTCCTGTCAACGTATTATGTTTTAAACCTAGACAGTTGTTGTCGCTCTTGCAGGCCCATAATTTTATGCCATTAAAAGTGCCAAGGGGGAAAGAGTGAGGGAAGAAGGGAGGGAGGGAGGTGGGCTCTGAAGTGAAAGCAGTTGTAGGGGTTCTCTACCTCTTGTTCCCTTCATGCCTGATTCCCTGACACTTTTGTGCTGGAAACTTTTGGCATTTCTTGAAAGCATAAAGACTAGTTGGGGGCTTTAAAGTGATCATAAAGTCAATCATGTTGGCTTGAATTACCCAGCAATCTCTGTCAGTTAGTCCCCTCTCAGCCGCTACGCCATGAGATGTGTGTGGGAGTGGGGTGTAGACGTGTGTATGTGTGTGTGCATTAATGTACATACTGTAATAGTGTATGAAACGGGAGAAGTAGAAGTCAGAGACTCAAATGAAAAGAGATGGCGAAAGAGGACTCATTTTCATGCCTTTACCTGCCGGTAAAGTCCAGAAAATTGTTGACATGTTAGTCATAAGACAAAAAAAAAATTTGTGAAAGAATAGATTTTAAATTTTTAGGGGAAACTGCATTTAGAGTACCATTAAAAGCAGCGATTTAAAGCAAACCATGGGGCCAAATGATAATGCCCTGCAGGTCCGAGCAACTCTGCCACTTCTTTATGAATTGTCACTAATCGAAATATGTTGGCGGGAATTACTGTCACTTGTTCTGATTTGTATGCATGACAACCTTTTTCATCTCAAAGAATACTAGACCCCACAAGGTCTTTACATTATGGGCAAACATTTGCAATTATGATGAACTCCGCCAGCTTATCTCAAAAGGAACAGGTTCTTAGTGATGGACAAGAAGACATTTTAATGAAATAAACTGCTTTGAGCTGATGAAATAAAGATTGCTCCACCTCGGGGCACACTCAAATTAAATTATCAAGATGGTTGCATGCATGCCGCTCCCATTAACTCAGGTATGGTAAAAGCATAATCATACTGCACTTGTTCTATATAGTATTCGTGAAGCAACTACATACAGCGGATGATGTTTGCTAACTGTTTTTTCGTCCGCTGTCCTATTTCCCAGCTTCTCTTCTGTGATGGCTAAAGGCCTCACAGATTCTCTTTTACTCCATTCAGAGGGATGAACTAATGTTCAAACCATGTGTCGTCCCAAGAGGCTGAGCGAGTGGACACTGTGATGCATGCAGTTTTATGCCTGCAGATAAACATGGGCCTGATGGCTTGTCAGAAGCCTGTGGAAGGAGCCCAGAGTCCTCTGCCTTAAAACAATGTTGGTGTTGGTGCAAGAGGGACTGACTGGCAATGGGAAACACCTGTGCTGGGGTGAGCAGCCGGGCAGTATGCTGGGATGGGGGTGGGGGTGGGGGTTTACCACTGTTAGAAGAGGAAGGGAAGGCAAGAGGGAGATATAAAGCCAGTTGGAAAAGCCACTACACCCTCGCCATTTGCTCTTGAGAAGCGGCGGTCTAAGGAAATTAGTTACAGTAATGTCTTGACTGTTACCCCTTGAATTTTATTTTCTCATGTGCTGGCAGTATCGAGCCCAAGCCTGAGGCTCAACCTGAGAGGCTGTATGTGTTCAGTCATATTAGCTGAGACCATCTGAATCATTGCTTTTGGTATGGTGGAGAAAACACAGTGGAAAAATGGATTCAGAAATATGACTTCAATATTCTGCTATGTCTCCCAACTGTATTTTTGTTCTGATACTATCTATCCTTCAAAATTTTCTGATGTCAAAAATTTAAACAAAGGCATTCTTTTCCCGTATCATAATATTTGAGGAAAGATTTGGATCTGCTGTGACAATTGTATGACTTATTTTTGGATTTAGTCTCTTACTGTATGTAGCAACAGGTTCCAGAAGTAACTACAGCCACATAGAAAAGCTGCAATGCTTCTGGCATCCATAAGCCTGTGGCAGCATTTCAGACAATCTCTATACTAAGGAATAATGTCAGTTTTTCTGTCCAGTTGATATGTATTCTGACCTTTTGTTGGCTTGGCTTTACGATATTTTGATTATAACTTTATTTAACCTTTTAGCAACCCCAGTAACTTATAAAACTTGTTTTTCTTAAAGTGAAAGGATCATTACTTTAACAACTTTTATTAAAAAGTTATAATTTATGTCAAAATGTGTTGAAAAGGCCTCTGCTCTTTAGATATACATGTATCAATACAAGATGATTAATTAATTTTTTTCTGCATAATAACAAAAAAGGTTGAAACTGTATAAAGGCAATTCATGCAGGTACCTCACTTTTATTGTTTTTTAACACCTATCTATGAAAAAGTGTGCATACAGTACAAACATGCAAATCCCAAATGAAACAAAGAACACACAACACAGCATGCACTTTTACAGCCAAACATGTCACCCTGCTGTATATACATCAGCCTCTCCTCAGCGGCCCAGTGCTCCACCCTCAAGTCAGGTTGATCATTCCATTTCCTGCTTCTCTATCCTGAGGTGCCTGCTGTCAATTTATCAGACTCTTCCTTTTAATTTCATACTTTCCACAGTGTAAGCATCCATCTCCGCTGTCTGCAGCACCGTTAGAGGGTTCAGAGCAAAGCGGTGTGAAACAGGCTGATGTGTGTAGCCTACAACTGACAGGGAGAAGCAGGTTGCTATGGAGTAATGATCTTGTGAGAAAAAAAGCAGTATACTCTGCAACATACTCTCATGTTGATGATATTTTTCTGTGCACTTTTGAATTATAATCCAAAAAATTTTATGTCTCATGTTTTAAATCTAATTTCTATAGTGGATAATGTGCTGCAGAGAGAGTGATTAACGCACTGATAATATGCCCAGATGTGACATAATATTCTTTAGATTGATACCATGCTAGTAACCAGTTGCAAAAACTTGAATCCATATTTACACAAGCATAATATACAGTTATTTAGTGGATATTACATTATCTATATTTTGAACTGACATTTACAGTGTCAGTGGTTGAATCTGGCAGTCCGTTAAGTATTCATATTGATAAATGAGAAATCAGATGTATTTTAGGAGTCAAGCATGCAATCTGTAGATTATATTCATGTTAAACTCCATTGGCTTCATTGCTCTTCCTTTGACACATCTGGAATTTGAAAATAAAGTAAATTTATACGAGATTTGACACATAAAATGTCATTAAGTCTAATCTTAATTTAGGACTCCCAAACCTTTCCGTAGTCCTCTTCTTGTCTCCTCTTTCCTGATCTTTCTCTATCTCTCTACGTCTAACAAAATTAATTACTGTATGTTTTATTTTATGAAGGTGTCAGGATGAAATGATGAATGGCTTGTAATATCAAAAGATTAAAGACACAATGCAATGAAGGACGCGCCTGCTTACACTCTGGTAGTGCTTACATGCAGACACATGTACACACACACACACAAAGCATGCACACACAGTCTCTGGGGCCATTGATATCTGGTTTCATATTTGATATTAACTTACTGGGGGAGCGAGTGTGGCCACAATGTCATTACCAGTGGTAGAGGGGCATAATAGAAGTGAACTTTTCAAAAAGGTCCTTATAATTGCAGCCTGGGCCTTTCTTGATAAAATTCCATATTGATATGTACACTGGTCCCCTCATTACGGCCACAGATGAAAAAGAGCATTTCGGCGTTCTTTAATGAGTGCTGTACCAGTGAAGGTCATCTTAATGGGGTTCAACTTGCAGTTGGGAGCCAGAGGTAATATTCTAATGAGAAAGAGCCACTACACCACTCTTGTAATTCTGTAATTGTACCCATGGATGCCATTTTATTGTTGCCTGTGCAGTGGTATTGAAGTCCTTTGTTGTCATTTGCAACATTGCTTGTCCTCTCTGGTCTGGTTTGGTGGTCCAGTTGAAGCTCAATATGTGCATACTCACACACTCTCATTACCATATTTCAAATCCACTTCACACACCATACAGTGTTTATTGGAAGCTACAGTTTATTCATTGCTTACTTATGGGTGGAAGGACATCAGAGCCACCTAGCAAAAAGAATGAATATTAACCCCAACACACAGCAGTGTGGCAGAGCAAGGACAGAAGGAATGTTTGTGTGCATTTGTGCACGTGTTGGCTGTCTTTGTCTGTGCATGTGTTGATTTTAAATGTGCCTGAGTGCATTTGTGTGTCCAAAAAGAAAAAGGTCTTTATGCCCGAGGCTGTTTCCTATTCCTAGAATAACATGAATTTTTGCATTTTGCAGTTATAAAGTGTATTTCTATATGGAGTTTCCTTAATATTGTCATTACTACTTGACATTTTCAGAATATTAACAGATTCATATATGATATTAAAAGAGTAGGCCAATAATTTAGCATTGTACTCCTAAAACACTGTCGGACGTAAAATCAAAAAGCCAAACCCTTTTAAGCAATTATGGTTGAATCACAGATTATATGAAGAGTACTGAGAAGAATTCTGATGCTGAATGTGATTTCCTCTGCTGAACTGTTTTCCTTCAGCCTCCAGCCTCTGAATAACTGTCCCACTTAACCATGTTGACAAGATGAATGGATGGACAGATGGCACGTGGCGACCATCTGTGGTTGCTAGGTGGCCTTTCCTCCATAACAACTTTAACATTAGCTCTACACTCAGATGA